AGGTGAACCGTCACAGTACTATGATAAGTAAACTCTATGTTCTAACATGTACGTATAGTTTTCTATATGATATAAAACAAAAAAATCACAGTACATTTTTGTTATAAGATTTCGGTGAGAAAGGCAATAAAAATGATTTCGGGAGCCAAAGTCGATTGATCAACATAATGATTGGTGATTCCGCCAATAACGCCGCAGTATCGACATGCCTACCCTCAATTTTTCACTATTCTGTCCTTTTGAACTTACTCCATCCATCTTTAGTGGAGTAATGCAACCCAGACGCCCCTTCCATTTATTTGATTCGTCTAAAATTTATATAAATGTCTTTTGGATATTTTATAGGTCTGTATTTATTTTCAGAGTTTATTGACAAACTAAAATTATTTGTTTGATCTACAGTTTTGTGTAATGTTTCGTTCCATTCTAAACCTTATTTGGTAATAAAAATACTTTACTTAAAGGAGAGCTATCACGAAAGTATCTTGATAACCTGATGTCCGGAATGCTATTCAATAGGTAGGCTTATATATCATATATCAACAGGTAGATCACTTTCTTTGTCATTTCAATTATATAAAAAAGATTCCCGTTATAGCTCTTCACTGATAGAGCAAAATACGTAGGTATCTCTAAAACAGTACGTAGAGTAGAGAGTTAACATTTTATGGCCACGTTGTCGAACAAATTGTCCTAGCCGTTGAGCTCTAAGATCTACGAGAGTTGTAAAACTATCGTAAGCTGTGGCTGCAGTACTTGCAACTTTGCACATGCATTTTGCAAGTGAAGAACTTCAGTCAAACCTTTGAAGTTATTAGTGATGACCGCAAACGTTTCTATAAACTATTTAAAGTATTTATATCTTCTCAGAATGTTTTCTACAAAGAACTTACGTTGTAATGTTGATATCAGTTGGTTCTTGGCAATTCAAAGTTATTTGATAAATTTTATTCAAACGAAAAATGTATATAGCTTTGTTGTTAACCTATTTACTTTAATTTGGTTATATGTTATTATACATATTTAGAAAAATATTTTCTGTTTAAAATAATACATATTATATTATTATTTTTATTTTCAAAATTATTGTAATTTTATATATTTTGAATAATGAGATTAATCTAAGATTATCCTTAGACTCATCTAATAGCTCAGATATAGAAAAAATCTTCTATAACAACTCATCAAATCCATATCAAAAGATAATCTAAATGATATCTAAAATAGATTAAATTGAATTTTACTGTAGCTTTATGGAATTCTCAGGCAAACTGGACTTATATATACCTGAAAATTAAAGACATTACCCATTCTCTCATGGGCATTCAGGTAAAAAACAAGACTCGAACTCCATTTTATTATTTCTTTGTTGGGTGACAAGCCTCAATAAGTCGTCTATCTCAGCGAGTGGGTATTGTTAGAAATATATAGAGTGCACTCCATGGTGAGTCGAAGTGGAGACCGCTAATACAAAATCTGCTTTGTACTTTCCAATTCCGAAGTAGAATTTTAATGATGTTCAATATCTAAACAAAATGTAGGCGCATAAAAGATGAAAAAGTTGGTATAGACTACTGTCCAAACTTAAAATTTTGTGTACAAACAAAACCGAATATTTTTTACTATTATTATATTATATTTAAGGGTATAATTTTTCCGTTCGGGAAAGAAATATGTTACCTAGAAGTGATCCTTATTTTGTAATTTAAATTTTTTTCGATGTAATTTAAATATGACTATGTAATTAGCCGTGCCCGCGGTTTCAATCGTATGAAATTTGTAGCCTATATGGTTTGATCCATAAGCTATATTCCTATAAAGTTTCATAAAAATCCGTTCAGTAGTTTTTGCGTGAAAGAGTACCAAACATCCATCCATCCATCTAGGCAAGCTCACAAACTTTTGCGTTTATAATACTAGTAAGATAACTGAAATAGCGAGCAAGCTGATGGGCTACCTAATGGAAAGTGGCAACCGTTATATTAATGCATCCGTTACGATGCGTCGGGATATAGAGCCCGTGATATTCATCATTTGTTGTCATTTCTGAGGAGTGAAGTGTAACGGTGAAACACTAAAAAATCACTTGAATATGCACAGGTAACCTGTACACATTCAAGTGATTATTTAATGTTTTGCTCAGTAAGGATAAAATAATAAAAGTTTTAAAATAAATTAATAAATAAACGTTATTATGTTAATATTACATTACAATGTCTGTTGTTAAATTAAGGAACTTATAATTTACTTTATGTAAGCGGAATAACAAATAAGTTGATCATCCACGTGATGGTAAAAGGTAATTTTACGTTATCATGTGATGCTCATGATACTCATCAACTGAAATGCAGCTAATAAAGCATGCTGCTTGGCGACAGAAATAAGTGAAGCTGAGTTATCTACTAGAAGAAGTTTACCTAGATTACATCAATTTTGTGTGATATATATGTACTATAAAATGTATTTAGATATTGCTGGCTGGCTGGCTTTACTTATTAATATACTTTCTCTGGATTTAGATTTAAGCTTCTTTTCTGCCATTCTTCGTTTTGATTGATTATGGATTAGCGTCGCTGTCGACTCAACAGGTTTCTCTATATTTTTTATAGGTCTGATCTATAACTCTTGCTTATAACTGCGTTCCACTCAGACTTTGATATTTATAAGAAACATATGTTATAGTTTACACTACCATTATTATATAGTATAAAAGAAAGCCGCTGTCGCTGTTTGTCCCTATGTATGCTTAAATCTATAAAGCTACTCAACTTGTTTTGATGCGGTTTTTTTAATAGATAGAGTGATTCAAGAGGAAGGTTTTTATATATAATAATGTATACCCGTGCGAAGCCGGGCCGAATGGCTGGTTACTTATAAAAACCTAATCTTTACATAGTATGCAATGAAGTTACGTAGGTCTACAATTATACCTCTACAAGTATTTAAATTATGTATGTATATCAGTTGCCTAGAACAAACTGTGCTTAGTTTGGGGCTCCGTAAGTTGTACAGATTTATTTATTCATTAAAACAAATTATCTTTTCTGAAATCCCACATGCGATTTACGTTGTACTAACAAATGTTTCGCCTATATTAATATTTACTTTTAACAATAATAACTATAAAATAATTAGCCACGTTGACTAGATTTATTATGCTTGCCTTTATTATAGGATTAATAGAAAATTTTAACATATAAGTTTAAATTTACATAGAAGTTTAAATTTTCACGCAATAACTACTGAACGGAATTTTACGACAATTTACAGTAATATAGCTTATACATCAGAATAATATATGTATATGCTATAAATTTCACGGTGAATCCTCGGGCACAGCTAGTTATAATATAAAGTTTTATACCAAAGATAGACTGTATAAAGTCGCCTGCGTTATCTATCTCTATCGCCAAGCAGAATCTTACTATTTAACAGTACAATAGCAACATTGATGTCTTCGATTGAAGAACATGACAAGACATAATAATCCTACGGAATAAGTACCACGTACTTCCATGATGTCGTTGTTGATTGTTATGTTGTTCAGGTGTATAGGTAGGTATGTATTATTTTCTTTTGCCTGACCTTAGTCGCATTTATTTGGGTCGGCCCGTCCAGTCAATCTTCGCCAGTAAGGTATGTCCTGGGTCGTCTGGGGTGTTATTTCGGCTTATTTTCTATTCTATTCGATTCAATTAAAAAATACGTACGATATCAAGACTTTTATCACAAGCAAACACGTAGAAAATTTGGGTATTTTTAATCTCATATAACCATTTTCCATGTCCCAAACGAGAGCGTGTGTACGCAACCGAAAAAATTTCTCAGGTCTGAGTCGCGACCCGATTTGCCTCCAATATTACATTCATTTTTCATTGTTACAAACACGCCGTGTATAATCTATCTCCCCCTGTACCTTGACGGATCCTTCACCTTTTATATTGCCTATTCTAATGTTTTATATCTATTATACCTGACAGGCACGACTTGAATATCTATTATATTATGCATGGAATTAATTATTATAAAAGATTGAGTAATAATAATCTAGTACTAAGTGACCTTTTATCCTGCAAGAATGAAGTTAAAATATAAATTTCTAAATTCAGACTATCAGTAATAAATTTTATAGAAACTGTCTACTATTTCAACGATGTTGAACGATCGTTTTAAAATTTTATATTTCATAATAGGTAATAGTAATAATGGAGTCCAATTTACTATTATAATTTATCATATTATTAACTGACAACTCACCTCTGTTTTGCATTGGTTTACAATGAGAGACCTCGCATGTATAAAATAGTCGCAGCATACTAACTGTATGCTGCGACTTACACAAACCATTTCCTGTATTGCAGAAAATGATATTGGAAATCGAATCAAAATCCGTAGTTTAGTTTATTTAATTTACTTCTTAGCGACTTAACGTCATAATAAATCATCATGAAATTACATACACACAGTATTTGAGATAGAGATGAACTCAACCAATTACTTTTTATCCCGGTCAGAGAATATATTCCGGTCCCATAACTTGCTGATAGTATTTTTTACTAAAATATGATAACACAGAAAAAAAATTTTTTTTCTAACGTAACTAACTGTTACTAACAGTTGATATACTCAGGGTATTATTTTATAAAATATAAGTTGAGTAGCGCAACTTCGTCTGCGTAACATTTTCCCTCTTGTTTGCAAAATTTTTTATTGATATGTATGATGATTTTATAGACCTAGATATAACACTAAAAAAATATCAAACCGAACCAGTAGTTCCTGAGTTTTCCCTGAATATCCAAACTCACTAACTTTATTCTATTAGTATAGAATATACCATAGTATGTAATTATTTATTTACAATAACATTTATTTTGCGTTCCGAATGAGTGGTAAAATAAAATAAAATACTATTCAAAAGTGCTTATATTGAATGATTTTAATAAGATTGTTTTTATTATTCTATACATTTTTTTAAGAATTTTTCATTTTTGTTGCAGAATATATCCATATTGGTGGTGCTGTTGTATAGTTGGAGGATTGGCGTTAATGCGAAGAGGTATAAGGAACTGGACGATGTTTATTACGGTATGCTTTTAATGTAATTATAAAGATTCAAATTATCAAATATATTATTGTGTTGGTAACAATCAGGTATCCTTTTATTATATAATGGGAATGACAAACAATCTGACAGAGGAGGTTATATTGTACAGATGATACAAATTTATTTTGTAGTATGTCGTGGGTACCCGGTATGCAATGCCATTCTTGAGGACTATAAGGAATTATTGAGGAATATAAGGGGAAAATATTGACTATGGAAAGTTTAGTTGTCATACCTCAGTGCCATAGTTTCATACCGGAACATACTTCTTTTAAGGATCACGCAATTTCAAATTATTGCTGGTTTCAGACTTAAATTTTAATCATATGTAATAAAAATATTGTTTCTTTGATACTATGATATTACATTTATTAAGAATGTAAAAGAATCTGAACTGACATTTATTTGTTTAATGTTGGTAATAAAAGTCCTACCGAACTTTGTAGGAAACTTGAAGTTTTACTAAGTCAACTAAACAGTCATGAATATAAAGTATACATCACGATATTAATAAAACAAGTTATTTTCCTTAATACTAGCTATTATCTATGGAATTGCTCGCATCAAACCTATTTTTTCGGTCCTGTGGCAATTCTATAAATCTCTTGCTCAGTGTGTCTATAGCCTATAGGAATTTTACCTGTCCGCTTATCTTGAACATAGCTATCCAATTAACAAAGACTACTTCGTTCTTAATTGTTACAACCGAAAGATCAAACTGTAGGTATTTCTTGATTCGCTTGAATAATTCTAATGAACGAGTACTAAGTTAATATATATATATGTAGAAATATTTCAGTTATACAAAAATTAAAGTTTAGGATATCGGCTTGTAATCTGTGTAATCGGGTTTTCTATTATAGCTAAATATCGCGATGTTCGTACCTATAGATTTTTCCAGGGATACGATTTATTACAGTTCAAGAAGCGCGACCTGGCTTTTCCCGTTTACTCTGTGGGTGCCACTATGTGATTTATTATATATATTATTATAACTTCTAACCTATGTCCCTATAAAATATTGTATCCTTCAAGCAATGAAATAAATTTCAAATCGGTATAGTAGTTTTTGAGTTTACTTGACTAATAACATAATCATTGTTGTTAGACATGCAATCTGTTTGTTGATGGAGTAAAAATACAGGGTATTAATCCAAAAAGAGTGAAATATATATGTTCTGTCTCTGTAAACGAAGGAAATCACTAAATTTGTAAAAGTCTTTGCCTACCAAATATTTCGAGAGAGTGTTAATAGTTTAATACCAGACATTTTTTTTTAATTCTAAGATAAGAAGTAATCATAGACACTTCTAAATAACGAATGTGATCATAATTAAAGATCAAACGAACTTACCAAGTGAAGTTCGATCATAATTATGTGACAGCTTCATTCTTAGCGATTTGTGTTTACATATTGTAGTAGTATTCCCAAGCACCAGCCTCGCACGGTAATTTATAGTTTTTTTTTTTTTTTTATAAAAATAAAAATTAGTTGTTGTATTGACTATTCCCTTACTACCTCCCACTACTTACCCGATAAGGTGGGATATTCTTGTTACTGCGCTCATTTTGTTTAAAGTAAAGTTTTCATTTCAAATTTTATGTAGTTTTTATTTTATTTTTCGCTTCACACTTCTCACTTTATTGTCCGGGTTTGGGATATTAGAAAGAACCTCAGCTAAATTATTCCATTTTTACAATACGCACATAAGTATATACATATATGAATGCATCAAGTGGGTGGGTGTGAATATATCGCTAAGAATGAAGCTGTCACATAATTATGATCGAACTTCACTTGGTAAGTTCGTTTGATCTTTAATTATGTTTCCAGCTTTATTCTTAGCGATTTGTGTTTACATATTGTAGGATGTTCAGAGAATTGTCAATAAAGTGTGCGGAAAATGTATTGAAATGTAAATAGGTAAGGTAACATGCATATTATAACACAATAATTTTATTATGTTATAATATGCATGCATAACACATTGTTCTGTTAATTACAGTAGTAATTAAGGTAGAATGTATCTCGCCTGCAGTTTTTCTAATTACATCTACGTTGACTATTGGCTATCTAAGTATCTATCTAAGTCTATTGGCCGCCGACGTGGAACGTACACGTCATGGTGTACTATGCGCGATGAATACAGCGGTAACCATGCTACTATGTAGCAGACAATCCTTAACCCATTGACTCATCCGTTAACAAGAAACATTGTTATGAGGTTTTTTATGACTAATGAATAAATTATTACAATTAGATTTTCATTAACTGTGTGTTTTGTTTAGATATGCACTCAAACACATCTTGCAGGATAAATTTCGACCTTTTCATTGTAGAAACACGATTTTAACATAGGTTGAAACTGTTAGGCTTTGAGGTCCTTATGTGTTTTCTTGCAAGCGTTATCTTTACATATCTTGATGATAAGGACCTTTTAATTAAACCTGACTTGACTGATGACATTCTCGCGGCTACCATTTACAGACTGCAGCGTAGATTATGGGATCGTTTGAAAGGAGATTTGTGAAATGTAAACCATGGCTCCAGTATATTATTATCTAGTATTATAGTACGACTGCTAAATCTTCTGCTTTGGCATTTATTATTTCTAGAATCAGTTTCCGAATTAATACAAATGGTGGAAACTAAAAATAGTAAAAAAAATGAGTATTTTTACCAAGAAATTGAAAATGCATCAACTGCAAATGCTTCTGGATTTTTTTTTTTTTTTTTCATATGACTTTACATCCATGCTTCACTTTGTGACAACTTGCAAATCAATAAAATCACTAATTTATCCTGTATTTCTAAAAGCAACAATCGGCTAACTTCTACTCAGTTCAAAAATTGTAGTGTTAATATAAATAATAATGTTAATATTAATTATTTTACGCTTCTCATGCAATTGGAAGATTTGTTTTGTATCTGTAATTTAAGACACACCAAACACCCTCAGGTGTTGCACATTTTACATTATCTATTCTAAGCATATAATTTTAAACCAAATAATAAATTTCTTATTTTATAATGTGTAGTAAACGTTTGTTATCTTTCGAATACCCATTCGATTTTTTATTGCCACAGAACACTCCCCAACCGGTACCTGACGTGTCAGAAAGTATGTCTACACTAAATTATTTTGCAATTAGAGATCAGAAAATTATTGAATCGAAGTGGAAGTTTATGGTGGATGAAACATTCATCCACCAATTTTAACTCTGTTTGCATTTATGAGAAATTGATATCTTGTTTTCATTAATTGTATTTTTCGTCTTAAGTCAAAAATAAATCCAAGGAATTCACACGGAGTGATGGGTAGGTATAAGATTCTTTTTTTTTTTTTTTTATATTATTTTTTCTCGACTTTCGCCGGTAATCTTGGTATTTACGGGCCTAAGCCAAGTACATAACAATGTTCTATTTCAGGTGGATATACCATAATACAAATGTAGGCCTAATCTGTCTGTAGAAACTTTCTAACCATGCGGCATGTGTTCGACTGACATGCATATTAGGGTATTTTTCAATAAACTTTAGATGTAAAGGTTCCAAGTAGTTTTTTGTGTCAGTGTCTAATGCAGTGAGTTGAAGGTAAGTTCGCAATATGAACAAATTCATTTCAAGTGTCCATCGTTTGCGTTTTTGAAGAGCGCCAGAGATGGGTGCAAGCTCATTGTATTATTATTATTATTTCTTAATTTTATATTATTACCATTATTTATTCTATTATTATTAATATTATTTATTAATTTTATTTATTTTATTATTATTATTTGTTTTTTTTTTTTATTATTATTATCATTTGACATTAGAATAACATTCAGCATATGAACGGCCAAAACAAGTAAATTACAGACATTAACGTTCTGGAACTTAAATATTACATAACTGGTATTATATTACATAACAAAATCTCGGTAAATATGTATGGGGCTGTACACAGGCCAAATAGTAATCAATTGAATTGATAGATAGATAGATAATTTATTTGCTTCAACATTTACAACAACAGTATAAATGTTCGCCTCATATTCAGGGGGCATGCAAATTACAATTCATAACAATTACTTTTACAATTAAATTACATTATAAATAATAATATCTGATGTCAGGTCAATTCCCGCAAAGAGTAACAGCATTTTTTAACGAGCCATTGGTGTAATTCTTTTTTAAATCTATTTAACGGCATCTCTCGAATTACCTGTGGTATTTTATTATATATTTGTATGGAGCTGAACTGTGAGTTAATTTTATGCAAGTTAGTTCTACACGGTGGCATATAATTTATCAGCATATTTAAAGCGTAAATACTTTCTTTGTGATTGTACAATATTAATTGAAAGTAGATACTTATATCAACGGATGCTATGATATCATACGGATGCCATTTTTCATCCAATTTTAAGGAAATTCTATAGTCTCCCAACTAAAAGTGTGTGGTTGTTATAAATCTCTTTAATGTTTTTAAATTTAGAATAAATCTGTTTTTACGATATAACTACGCTGGATATAAATTAGTTTGGTTCATGCCAGCACTCTGAGATTACATTATTTTATAAAAGGTCCTGTATATGACATCACTGAAATCTATCGATTCCTGTAGTGTTTTTGGGTAGACACTTGGAGGTTTTGTGTCGGTACGGAGTGTAACGTTATTGTATAGCCCGTACACCAGACAAGCAATGTCTCGTTTTAACTGTTCTCACTCCACCGTGGCACGAAATATTTCAAGCGGGATGCATAGTGTACCTCGTAAGGATCCTGCGCCTGCGTCTGCGCCTGCGGGCTACGGATCGCGGTGGTGGCTTCGGTTGCATTGCATAAGCCCTGTTGTCTTCAGAAGCAGGGCTCTGAAGTTTAACTTGTTTTTGGATCTATGATCTTTATTAATGAAGTTTTTCATACTAAAACGTTTATTTAGATTTTTTCTCTCATGGCAGCTTTATTGTTTGAGGAACCATCAAAAAAAAATTTTTT